TTATGGATGGTCTTACTGGACATCTACAAGAGGATGTACCTTGGTGTATGCTTTTTGCTGATGATATTCTTCTCGTGGATAAAACGAGAGAAAAAGCCCAGGAGAAACTTGAAATATGGAGGTCTACATTGGAGTCTAAAGGTCTTCATTTAAGTAGAACTAAAACTGAATAAATGGAATGTAATTTTAGTAGTAGTAGCTCTAGTGACGGAAGTGTGACTTTGGGTGATCAAATTATTAAAAGGTGTGAATGATTTTGATATCTTGGGTCCGTTGCGCAAAACGATGGTGATATAGATGGGGATGTTAATAGTAGAATTCAAGTTGGTTGGTTGAAGTGGAGGAATGCTTCGGGCCTTTTGTGTGATTAAAAAGTATCGCTTAGATTGAAAGGAAAATTTAATAAGACGATGGTGAGACTTGCAATGCTCTTTGGCACTGAATGTTGGCCTTTAAAAGAGAAGCATAATAATTAGTTAAGTGTTGTTGAGATGAGAATGATTAGGTGGATGAGTGGCTTTACACTTGAGACAAAATGCGAAATGAATATATCCATGATAGGGTTGGTGTAGCTCCTGTGACGGACAAAATTAGAGAAAGTCGTCTTAGATGGTTTGGACGTCGACCACAACGTCGACCACCTGATGATCCGATTAGGAGAGTAGGTGTTTTAGATTCGGCTTGTGTTAAGAAAGGCAGAGGTAGACCTGGGAAGACTTGGACTTATTGTATAAAAATGATCTTAATTTACTAGACCTAAATGAAAATATGACACTAAATAGGACACAATGGAGAAAAATGATTCATGTAGCTGACCCCACTTAGTGGGATTAAGGCTTTGTTGTTGTTGTTGTCTGTATATAATATTAGTTCATGCTTTCTTTTTATTGTTACTGTGCCAGTTTGATTTTATAATTACAAGGGACATTTATCTATTACCATGCCAGTTTGATTTTATTGTTTGATTCATTTTTATTCGTGCTACATCAGAAATGAACATGAAGAGCTAAAATAAAACGGCATGCTAACAAAACTTTATAATGCTTTATATTAAAACTTAAAATCAGTTTTTTTTTTTTTTTTTATAATTTTTTTATTTGGTTTTTTCATGCTTGAGAGAACACACTTAATTATGGCCTTGAGCGAGTTTAGGCTTGTGGGTGCATGAAAGGTTCAAAAAGGTAAGTGAAAGCTTCTTTAAACTGTGCTTTCATATGACATTTTAACAAAATTAATTTTGCTTTACAACCATTAGTTGGCTTACAATTAATGATGAGGTTGGAATATTTTACTCCTTATTTTGGGGAGAACTTTAAATCATTAATACTAGTTTTTTCATTTCTAATTTTTGCTGGAATTTAGTGTAAAATGTTTCCTCAGTTTGATTTGTGGTTGGGCTTCTCCAGTAATCACTCATTTGTGAATTCATATTCATCACCTAGTACTTATCCTCATTTCAATTATCCTACAGGATTGTAATTGGATATGATGAAGTAACAATAATGATAAAGATTGGGCGTGAAGTGCTAGTTGCCAGCATGGACAATGGTGGAAAAAATATATGGGCAAAGCATGATGAGATTCAAACCGTGAAGATAAAAGCAATTGGGTCCGACATTCAGGTATAATTTGGGTCAATCCGAGCCTTTGTATGTTACCGCTGAAACATGAATATTACTTGACCTTTGAGGTAACTGATGGTGAAAGGTTGCCTTTGGTTGTGAAAGAGTTGGGAAGCTATGATCTTTAATTATTTCACTTGAATTAGCCTTGCAAATTGAACCTTCGGATGTTCCGAACTTGAAAAACAAATGGTCTGATTCAGTTTTTAGTTGTAATTAAGTGAACCCAGTTTATGTATGTTTATACCCTATAGGTTCTCTTCTTTATACCCTCTATGTTGACAGGCAAAATGGTTCAAACAATTTCATTTAACCATAGTTCAACAAGTAGAACCTGCAGGCTACATTTTTCAGTAAAGCCATTTTTTTTGCGGCAAATATTTTTATCTCATTGCCTTCCTGCATTTTTCTTCTTCTATTACTATTTTATGGGCAGAGACTCTTACAGCCTAATCATTGTTCCCCAACATTGGATGTCTCACTTCACTACTGCCAGTCTTTAGTAATGATGCTTTTCACAGCCATTTTCTTTTACAGATTTCCCCTTATCTGAGACCAGAAATACACGTGATGACTGCATTTTAGCTTTCTTCATTTTCATCCTCTCCTCTCTTCTCATTCATATTTTTCACTCAACTCCTTTAGAAGATTTTTCCACCGCCTTCCTTTTATCAGATCCATGTGATCCATTTTGATCTTTTCAACATGGCTCCGTTTAATTTTTAAAATGTAATTGCAGGTGAACTAGCTCATGTTACGATTAAATGCATTTCTTAAGAAGCTTGTGGTTTCTTATAGTGGTAATGCTTCAGAGGTGTGACCAGGTCATTCTCCCATTCAATTGGGTTCGCTAATGTCCTGGAATTTCAGTTTCAAGTACCGAAGTTGGCTGCACTTCATATGAATTTTTACAGGGAGCTGCTGGTTACGTTTCTATTGTGTAAGAGCCCAATATAAGGATGCCATGTTGTATGAGAAGATGCGAAGGAAGATCAATGGAGAAGGATAACTGTGCATAGCTCTAAAACATATGGGCACATTTTTTTCGGAAGTAGTGGTAAATTAGTTTATCCATTTGAACCAATACAATTGATGCTTCTTAAAACCTTTTAAAATTTTTTAAAATTATCGAGGGAAAGCCCTAGGAAGACTACCGAGACAAATTATTGCACGTATGATCATTCATCTTCTACTCTTGTTAAGCTATGGATACCTGACTTTTCATGCTTTTAAATCCATCTTACTTTCGGTAACATCTCATTTTTCTGAACTTTAAAATATTTGTTTAATGCATTAATTCATATCTTCCCTAAATAGGACGCAATGGAGAAAAAGGATTCATGTAGTCGACCCCACGTAGTGGGATTAAGGCTTTGTTGTTGTTGTTGTTGTATTAATTCATATCTCATTGTTTTTTTTTTTTTTTTTTGAGAATTATGCTAAAGCATGTACATTGTGCTTAAATTCGATAAATCTACACATTTTTTAAGCTTTTAGAGGTTCTATCTTGTTCATAGGTATAATAAGGTTTGAAATGTGCTGCCTTGAAACAGCTGCAGCTTAGGAATGTTGATGTGCCAATTTTATGTAGTCTTATGTCAGTGAATTCCTAATCTTAGAGCTCCTTCCTATATATATTTGCTCATATGATTATCCTTCAAGAATCTTTTTTTCTTTTTTGTGTTTCTTGCTTGCTTGCAGTTGCATGGGCGTTCTAATGTTTGACAGCCTACATCGATTTTTTATATTTTTAACTTCTGTAAAGACAGCTCAGTTTTAATTATGGGTTCTCCATAACTGTTATTTTTGGGCTTCATCACGTATTTTAAAAATTTGTATGAAAACTTATTATATCCTGGCTCTCATTGGAACTAGATGTGGTGTGGAAGTTAATTATACATAATACAGACAAGTTAGGTTGTCATGATACTATTTTTGGTATCTCGTATATTTATGCAGTTTTGTAGAAGATAGATCATCAGAACTGTTTTGACTATCATTTATCTGGAAAAGGTTAGAACAAATAAATTCATCCATTTATATCTGAAAAAAATGCAAATGAATCAACAATTTTTCAAATTTATGTTAAACTATTGCATGGATTTCTTATAGGATTAATCTTTTGTATTTTAAGTTGTTTCTATTCATGCTTCTGCATTTCAGAAGTTCTGATAGTTTGATTTCTAGATTATTTATTGATGAAGAAATATGCAGGTGAGGGAAGAGAATGGAGAACATGAAGAACGGGAACAAGAAGTTGAAGCAGATGATTCTACAAATGGTGCTGCTATTGTCAGTGGGAATGATGATGATGATGAATGGGGTACAAATAACAAAGGATCCTCTACAGAATAAATGCAATTTTTTAGCAAGTGTAGAGCCAGTTTTTGTAGCTGAGTAATTAGTTGCTATATTTTTTGCTTAGAATAATCTTCATTTTTTGTATAGGTTGTTTGCTACTGGTATACGTTGAAAGTTTGAATTAGTGCATTGGTCAATTGACTAAATTACTGGTTTTGGGGGACAAAATCTTTGTTTATTTCGTCTAAAACAAACTCATAGTTGCTGTTATTACACCTCTTTTATTTTGTTTTTCAAAAAGTTGGTTTGCAACAGGACTACTTACATTTGATGAAGCTGATATATATATATATATATATATATATATATATATATAGAAATTTCAACATTTTGGACGTGGTTAGATCCTTTCGGTTGAATTTAAATTTTTGTAATTATTTTTGTTCTCTCTCTGTGTTACATCATGATTTTTTAAGAAGATACTGCATTTTCTTTAAGAAAATTACTCATGAAAAGTTATTGCAATTAATTATTACATTTGACAATGGAAATTATTATAGAAATTACTTTTTTTTTTATCTTTATTTTTTTTTTATTTTTTTTTCTTGAGAGGATGGGCATGCAGTCATTTCATACCAATGAGCTAGAACAAAAAATTTGTTATTTTTTTACTAGTGCGACTAAAGTGTTATATTAGTCCTTGGAATTTTTTAATATAGGCTGAAATATTCCATATGGAGGACTACCTAAAGTGATACTTTTAAGGAGGACTAAAATGATCCTCCATAAAGAGTCACGAGTATTTTGACACTTCTCTCATTTAAATCCCGTTCTGGTACCAAGTGACTTGGCGATGTTTTACATGATGCTTAGGTTGGTTTGTGTTTGATTGAATTTCTTCTTGTCCGCTCTTTCATGTAAAGATGCTGTTACTATAATTAAATGCTCTCACTAACATCATGTTCTTTTACTTTTGCAGCTCTAACTTCATTCGAGTAAAAGGACCAGTCAGGATGTCCAGTTTCAAAATCTCTTATAGTGTTTTCAAGGTGACTAATATTTTGTTTATTTCATCTCTTTTCTTTTGTTGAGATCTATATCCTAAACTTACATGCCTAAAATTTAGTCCTTCGTAATATTATCTATTGATAATTGGATGCAATGCTTTGTTACTATAAATTTGAAAAAAATTTTGATTGGCCTTGAAGACTTTGGATTTATTTTGAGATGAGGACAAGTCATGGCTGATCAATCAAAATTCTTGTTGCACTTATTTCATGGGAAAACTAAAATTAAATTCTTGTTGCCATATATATATATATATATATATATATCTATGAGAGATAT